GAAAGATCTATCCTTATATTCAACATATAAGACCAGATTGCATTGATCACGTGACCAGATTTTTCTTCTATCAAAATGATGTGTTGACCACTTCTGATTCTGGTCCGCGGCCCTCCCCGAACGATAGGCGGGACCATATTCCTTTAGGGGTAAATGGTCCGCCTTCAGGCATGAATGGTCCGTTCCTTCGGGGGTGCTTTCGGGCATGCCTTGCCCGCGGACTTCGACCATGGTCTTCGGACCCCGGTGAACAGACTTCGACCCTCGGTCCCCTTAAGGATAGGCGGACCACTTTCCCTTAGGGGTAAAATGGTCCACCTTTAGGCATGCATATCCTGATCCTGCGGGGGTGCTTTCGGGGTGGCTTAGACCGTCGATCCTTGACATCATTCTTTTCGCTTCTCTTCGGTTCCCTTCTTTGCCACCTTCATTATGTTGCTGCCTAGTGTTTGTACGTCATTTGTATGTTATTCTAGACGTCATTTCTAGGCTATCCTAGCCTATAAATACGTCCTTCTTGTCTAGCAGATAGAATCAAGTCAGTTCTACTTTCCTGAAGTCAGTTCTACTTTCCTTAAGTCATTGTCCACTTTCAAAAGTCATCTCTACCTTCTTCTATCCTTCTTCCTTTGATCCTCAGGACTGTGGTTCTGCCTTCGTTTAGGCTATATCTGCTTATAGTCTATCCTACGACCTTTGACCTTCCACCTTTGTCTGGCACTGACTGACCCAGCCGGACTAAGGTTGATCCCACGGACTTAAGGGGCCACGATCTGCTTCGTGGTAGCTTTCCCCTTATATCCCAACAGTTTCCTATATCTTTTATATTATAATATCCGAAAGCTAAGATCTTCGCTACGTAATATCTAGGTTAATAGGGCTACGGACTCTTCTCGGAACCTAGCTATATAGCGAAGTAGCTTCCTACTAAGGCTATATAGTTTAAGTCTCTTTAGGCTATCTGTCTTATATTATATTATTATTATTAGTATTAGTAATATACGGTTAGAATCTACTAATCTAGGAGTTCCTTATTCTAATAATATCTTAGTCTCTATGGCGCTTTATAGGATAGCCTTTAATAGCGTTAATAGCACTAAATAGGATAATTACTTCCTTATCCTTACTTTCCTCGAGCTTCTCCTATATAGGCGTAATACTAAAAAGCGTAATAGTAATAGAGTAGATAGGTATATTTAGGTTCGTAAGATAAGTAAGAGTAGGAAGAGTAATATAAGCGATATTATTATTTAGCTATATAGATACTCTGTATAACTCCTGCTTCTTCTAGTTATTATATTATGCTTAGAAGGCTTCTTAGTTTAATTATCCTAGGATTACGCGTAGCCTTAGGCCTAGTTATTTAATAGTGCCTAAAACTATCTGATTCGCAGTATTATAATATATAATACTACGGCCTTATATATCGCGGATAAATAGATATTAATTTAGTCGAGAGAAGTAGGTACCTCTGTATATTTAGTATTTTATTAGAGGATTAACGCCGAGACTATTCGATAAATTTCTTCTATTAGGCTCGTACCGAACGTTATTCCCTATATCTTAGCTAGCCTATAGCTTAAGAGTAAGTGCCTCTATCTATAATTATATTTCTCTAAGCTTCCTATCCTATTTATCCTAATATTAGACTTAACTAACGGTCGGTTAATGATATTCCTAAGGCTTCGTAATAGTAGTAGGTAGTTATTATGGGGGCTAAGGCTATTATTTATATTTAGTATTATTTAAAGAAGATTCGATAGTTAAAAGAATTCTCTGAATATTAGTTTCCTCTCTAATATATAACCTAATAGCTATATATACCTCTAAATAAGTGATTAGCGTTTCTCTCGGTAGCTACTTACGAGAATACCTTCTAATAACCTTCTCCTTAAGCTACTACGGAAGTCCTTAGATAAGGAGGCTTACTCTATTTATATCACTAACCTCGCCTTTTAAATAGATATAGCCAGAGATATTATCGAACTTATTAAGATATAAGCGGATATTATCCTATATTATTCGCTTAATCTATATAAGGGATTAAAGATATATCTTTGTGTACCTTTACTACTCGCTATTATTATTATAGAAGTGCTCTAAGAAGACTTCCTTAAAAATATCTTAGTTCTTTCTTAGCCAGGAATCCTATCTCTTTACTTAGGACTTAGTGACTTTCGTATAGTACTAAGGTAATATACCTATAATATCCTTATTACTTTTAATACTATATCTAAAGTATATACTATAGCTTCTCTAGGAACTCAGAGATATCGGTCTTATTAAAGTATAGTGCTCCTAGGGATCCTAGAGCTAGTAATACAGAGAAATAAGGTACTTAAACTATATAAGGATAAGGTATAGCCTATACCCTACTAGGTAGCTCGGCTAAGGATAATAGTGGCTAGTGCTTATAATCCGTATTATCTGTATAATTATTATTACTTAGGGTTAATTCGGATCTTTTTAGTGTAGGTTTATAATAATCTATAAAGGTTAGAATACCCTTAGGGTCCGGTAGCTTAGGAGCTATTATACCTTACGAGCCGTACGCTATTACTTACTTATAGAAAAGAGATAGCTTTTCGGCCGAAAAGAAATGCTAACTCTATGCGCTTACTTTTAATTGTATCTCTTTAATAATTCTTCTTCTTCTTCCTTTTTTCTTATTAAGGTCACTTCCTCTTCTTATAATTTATAATATAGAATTATTTATATTAATATTATCTGTGTGATAGAGTGCTATAGCTATCGGATACTCGGGTACCCCTGCTCGGCTACCGTATTTAATTAGATAAGCTATATCTTTAGTAGTATCTAAAGCACCGCCGCATCTCCCGTATACCAGTCCGATAGTATTCCTCGTAGGAACTAGATATATTTAGGAGAATACTATATCTCGGCTAGTCACTTATTTATCCGCACCAACTATATACCGTCGCAATCACTGGTGAATATAGTCTCCCGCTTAAGGTCTCAGATAGTCTTATAGCCTTCAGCGTCAAACGCGATCCCCACCCTTTAGGTGTGTGTTTCTTTGTATAGTAATGTGCCTTAACAAAAGAGCCTTCCCGGGGACGCCAATTTAAAATAGGAACGGCTCGATGGCTGTCTGGCGATACAGACTGGATAACACACACACACACACTGCCTGTCTGGTGTAGAGGATACTAGATGAGGCCGTACTGATGCCCTGTTGCGGCCGTGCGGGATAATCTTAATACTATATTATGGATAGAAGAAATTGGGTGAATCCTGAATGAATTAGGTAGATGACTTATCTCTCTCTAAGTGTGTCTGGAGATGTACTATGCACTGCAGACATTAAATCATGCCTGAGGCCACACATAGGCTCATTATGTCACCAGTTCTCCCACTACATTACTTAATATTCGCCTAGGTCTTTTAGGAGTAATTTATATTATAGAGAATTAAGAGAGATTAAACTAAGTTATTTAAGTTCTAAAGTTAAATTAATAATATCTTTATACTGAAATATAATAATAGCCTTATATAATATAGATATATTATTATTTTTAGTAATAATATAAAAGCGAAGAATATAGTTATTAATAGATATAATTCCTTAGATAACCGATAAAAAAAATTAGAGTTATAAAGAATCTGTGTATTTAGGGTAAAAGACTTATTAGTTAGATAAGAAAGAATATCTAAGCTTAAGTCATTATTAAAAGAAATAAGACTAATTCTTACTAAGTCTAAGTTATCTAAAAACCCTCTTATTTTAAGAACGAATTAGGTCTGAGACTTACTTATTATACTATGGGGTAAACCTTTACCGCTAGTCCTTAGTATTCCTTTACACTATTTATATCTTACGTGACTCACCCTAAGTATAACGACACTTAGGGCTTATACCTATTATACAATCCCGAACCCCAAAAAATTATATAATCCAGATAACGTCACACGAAAAAAAAAACGAATAAGATATAAAAAAAAAAAAAATCTCTTTTTTTGCAGTTACCTCCGGAGCCTATCGTCTCTAGAAGAGGAGGTAGTTATAAAGGAATACTAAGGACTAGCGGTAAAGGTTTACCCTATAGTGTAATAAGTAAGTCTGGACCCAATTCATACTTAAAATAAGAGGGTTTCCAGATAACTTAGACTTAGAAAGAATCAGTCTTGCTTCTTTTAATACCAGACTTGAGCCTAGACATTCTTCCTTACCTAACCGACAGGCCTTCTACCCTGAAAACGTAGATTCTTTACAGTTTCTATATAGTATTAGTCTATATTCTAATATACCCCCTTTTAGCTTATCAGAGCTTATAAGCTAAATAAGGCTTAGAATTGGGCCTATATATATGTAGTCTCGTAGATCTAGATTTCAATAATTCTATCTTAGATATCAGTTGTATTTAGATAATCGATAAACCGCTAAACCGCTGGTGCTTCTAAGTAAGCATCGGATGGTGACGAAGTATCTCGAGGGGACATACGGGCTGTTTCAAAAGTTAAAATTAACCTACTATAGAGAAGCGTAGTTTCGACCTGTCGCCGCCCACTATGAGGCCACTTCATCAATACTCGCTTTCTTGAAAGACTAAGTCAAAATTACTATACTGTAGAGATGAGGAATAATAGGACCGTCATACAGATGCCCTCATATGCACTTTTGTGGTGGTGACACGCTTTATAGAGTGAGAGAATGACACTAAGTAAAGTTGTCGCATCCTTTTAGGGCGCAAATGCGGTGCTATAATTCTTTAAGAGCAATGTTGAACTTCCTAGCTTGTTTGACCGCCTGTTGTACGAATTCTTCAGAAAGCATAAGGGGCAGGCGTTTCAAATTTATCAGTCGGCACGTTACGGAAGGACAAGTGACCAAAGATAGGATATACTGTTTTCTTTCTTTTCTTTAGTTAATCAAGTGACTTGTTGCTTGTTCACGTCGTCCAGTATATAGGCCGCTTGGACCACTCCTATATTGCTTAATCCACTCTATACCTTGAACCAGTTGTTGCGTTTTGCACTATCTAGAGGCGTCTCTCCAACCTTATCTTTCGCCTCAATATCGAGCCCCTTGTCTTTAAGGAGATTGAACCATATAGGCGCACGGCCGAGTCAAGTTTAGCCACCAGGTGTAAAAGTGACTGGTTAGCGGCGTTTGTTTCTGTCAAGATATAGCCTCCTTGCTCAAATCGGCTGACTACTTCTTGACCAATAGCGTAAAAACGATCGTACTTACGATGTTCGCTCTCAAACATCGGTTCATCCTTTATCATGAACAACAATTCCAATGCAGTCACACCTGCTGTATTGCGAGCTTTTGGGTCAACTCCGCGCTCGAGGAACACTGAAAGTAAACACCGCTGCTTATCACCCACTCGATCACCTTCGCCTAGCCTGCCTGCCGCAAGGTAATGCAGAACGGTGTTCCCATGGCCATCACGTACGAGAGGATCCGCATTAGCGTCTAGAAGGTCATAGATAGCTGTTTCGAAGTGAAAGATAGCTTTAAAGGCTGAGCTAGCCTGGTATGGGTAGTCACACATTCGTCGAATCGCATAGTGTAAAGGATAGAATCCGGCTCCATCGGGCTGATTTAGTACACTAGGACAGTTCTGGGCTAAGTATTTCAGCGATGTATTGATGAGTGGGGGTATGTCGTTATCGCGATCAATAAACGCTAGCAGGTGATGAAGAGCGTTTTGGCCGTACTTGTCCACGGCGAGGAGGTTTACCCCGCGGGATACGAAGAATTCGAGTAGGCTGGGGCCGGTGCATGTAGAGGTAAAGCGTTGAGACTCTTCTTGCCAAGGATTTCTTGGCTGCGGGTAAGGGTTCGGCATCGCCTGCCCTCCCCAAAGGCACACGAAGGCCCCATCTACTGCACCATCCAAGCCAAGCTTACTCCGACAGGCGGCGAGAAACAATGTGCGGCCCTGGGGATCCCGTCGCTCCACATCTAGACTGGTTCCGAGAAAGTTGAGAATTGGCTGGATGAACGCACCGTCCTCAAGCAGAGAGTGTATAACGCTGCATGCCCCATATTTATGCGGAAAACGAGGCTTATAGTCGATACATTCCTCATAGTTGTCACCAAATCCGTAAACCCGCGAACCAGGTTCTTTTTTTTCCCCTAATAGCCCGAGTCGCTCATACTCCAGCCGAAGCGTCTTCTCGATGATACCCCAACGAGCAAATCTCATACAGTTAAGGTCTGACTCATCATCATCATATTCTGGATCCCCAGTGTCTCCTGGGTAAATAGGGACAAGATTGTAGCTGTAAATGGGCTGACGGAATAATGCATATGGATCGGCACCATATTTAAGTAAAATCGTCATAAGACGCTCCGTTTTGAGTAAATCGCACATCTCAGGGATCTGAACCCCACTGTCCCGAGCAGCCCGACGTAGGGCGGGCATTTCAGTGGCCTCAAAATCGAACTGCGGAGGCCGCGTAGCTTTCACAATATGGGCTTTATCGTCTGCCAGACCAGAAAGGGCGGACTCCGAGTCATCAAAACGTGCATTTGGATCGACGCCTGAAACCAGCAGAGACTCCACACGGTTAACCCAGCCTTCGGCAGTCGCGTGGCATAAGTCAAGAGCTGGGAGATTCCGAATTTGTAGTTGCATCATGAGTAGTGAGGTCCGAACTGGCGATGCGAAGAGGGTGAGAAATTGTGTACCGTTGATTATCCTGAAAACCCTAGACTGCTGAATCAGCATATTGGATCCATCTAATGTATCAAAATACTGTGGGGGCCATATCGCACGTGCACCAATCCAAGCACGACGAGTCTGAATTATAAAATACGAGGCGCCCACACCAAAGGTGTATAGGCCTATGTAACGAATGACGGATAGTCCAGTATCCGAACTACCACAGGCCTGTTCATATCGACAAACTGACACCGGTTTCGGAGTCAATGGTCGTTATGACTATTGAGTTAGAATCGGCCAAATAAAATTAGAAATGTTAGGAATTTTAGTAATTCAGGCTCCTTATTATTTATATTAAGACAATACCAGTATCCACCGGCCTCGACAGGTAGTGTACTAAGAGGTTGAGTAGTTCTCACGTATTGTTACCGACTAAGACGAAGAAGAATTCGTATATTATTAATAGAAGTAACTAAACAAGAAAGAAGAAGAAGAGAGAAAAAGGGAAATATGTATCTATAAAATAAAACTACTTCTATCCTAAATTTGATTAGACCTATAGCTCCTTCTAGATTAGACCTGGCACTCATCCGCCCGCGGGTCCAAGATCAGGAACCTCCACCCGCACCTCCGAGGGTCAGGGTCCAACCTCACCGACCCTAACCCTGACCCTAACCCTTAAGGGTCCCTTAAGGGTCACCCGCGGAGGGTCCGTCAGACCCTTAAATATATAATTTCTCCGCGCCTTTCCTAAATCGGATATATAAAATTAATGATTCAGCTTATAAAAATACTAATATTTATGGCTATTCTGGTATCTATTTCTATTATTCCTTAATCGTATACTAATATCTACGAAATTTAAAGAAATTAGATCATAAATAGATAACTTATATATTGTTACCTTAGTGTTCTGAAATTTGACTTAAATTATATAGTGGGTGGCTAATTTTTAAGGGGGTTATAGAAAGTTAAGAGTTTCGTTACGGAAATATATATTAAAGGTAGAGTGAGAGTACTATATTTATATAATAGTAAATATATCTTTTTTTTAATACTAAAAATGCCCTAAATCGAAAGCTTTCTTCGGTTATAAAATAAATAGAGACTTATTTAAATAATTACGAATTTAGATTCCTCGTAGGTATTTTAGTTATTATACGAAATAAGTTTAAAGATTTAGATTATTAGACTTAGATATTTTTAATTATAAAACTTAAGACTATATAACTAAAGGGTTACCCTAAGGGTCTTAAGGGTCACCCTAAGGGTCTTAAGGGTCACCCTCTCTCGCGACCTAATTAAATAAGAGAATTTTAGCTAAGTGGGGGCCTATAAGATAATATATTAACTTATATCTAGACCTGGCCGGAGGGTCCAAGGTCCGGACCCTCCACCCGCTAAGTGACCCTTATTGAGGGTCCCTTTTTGCATAAGCGTGTATAAAACACTATTTGTAAGCAGAAAATCGCCTTTTTAGGCCAGTTTATGCCTTAAAATATTACCTAAGAGGGTCCAAGGTTAAAATTTGGACCCTCCTTGGCGTCTTGGCGGGTCCAAATTGAGGGTGAGTGCCAGGTCTACTTATATCTTCGCGTGACTAGGGTAAATAGATTTCCCTTATATGATAGCTTTTTTTTATCTAAAACCTTTATAAGTCCTTTTATTCTATCTCTCTATAACCTATATATCTACTATATTCTAAATCTCTAATATATATCTATTCTTAGTAATTAAGGGGTTTAGAATAGATAAGTTATAACACCTTATCTCAGATAATACCCTATTTATAAGCCTATTCCTATTAAGCTAGCTTACCTTTAATATAATACTAACTACTCTACTAGACATTGACATAACCCATGGGTTGGGTCCATGGGTCGAACCCAACCCGTCCATGGACGGGTCCTGGACACCTACCCCGAACCCATGGACGGGTCAGGTCTGGCTGCCCATGGACGGGTTAACCCATGGGTTTCTTGGCAACCCATAGTACCGTAAGACATAAGTTATACAATTTATGTAGTATTTAATATATTAGAGTGGTAATATTTAGACAGAATATTACCGCATTTATTTAGGAAGTGAAGATCAAGTGAAGATTAAGTGAGATTAATTAAATACTAAACTATTTACTAATTTCGAACCCTTTATGTATCCTCGGCGCCTTCCTTACCCTTCCAGAATGCCGTACTTGGCTTATTGAGGGTAAACCACTATTATTATTATCACTTTGCTCACTTTCATGATCAGATAAAACACTCTTTCGTCTCTTCCCTGCCCTTATAGATAGCCTCACTTTATCGTCACCTTCCTTAGTATCGCTAATTAGATTAATCCCTTCTAACGAAGGTGAAATCTTCTTATTTTTACCTTCTTTAGGGATCTCTAAAGCCCGAGCTAATTTAAGCTATTTATCTTCTATCTTAAATTAAGTAAGGCAAGAGAACATTATTAGATCCTAGATAGTTATTGAGTTTAGACGACCTCGGCGATAATGACAAATATCGCGGGCTAAATTAAATAGCCTCTCTACCCCCGCACCAGTAGCGGGAATAGAGAAGATATCGCGGGCTACCCGTGCGAGGGTAGGATATTTAAGTTGATGGTCTCTCCAGAAGGCCTAAGGGGTAGTGCGTATAACACCTAAAGAGAAAGAGAAGTAAGCAAAGAGGGTAAAGAGGCTTAATAAGCGAGCAAGCCTTTAAATAGGAGTTAATCGGACTTAGGGGAGGAGTCAATCAGACTCGTGGAAGGAGTCGATCAGACTCGTGGAAGGAGTCGATCAGACTCGTGGAAGGAGTCGATCAGACTCGTGGGAGTAGTCGCTTAGACTTAAAAATATAAGGGATTAATCTTATAAGAGGAGTCGACCTAACTAAAAAGAGGAGTTAACCTAACTGAAAAGAGGAGTCGGTCTGACTTAAAAGTGGAGTCGAGCTAACTTAAAAGAGGAGTGGAGGAGACTTAAATAAAGAGGCTTACTGGCTTAAAGATACCGTGCGAGTTTATCCCGGTCTAGGTTAGATTTACCTTTATCTTCGAGTAACCGATTAAGTTCCGACCCTTATATATAAGCTTTAGATAGAAGGGTGTTATTCTCTTCGAATTAATAAGCTTTAATCCGATCTTAAAGGGTGCTGTGATAGTGTTCGGCCTATATCTGAGTAGAGCCCTCTGGCCTACCAGACTATTCCTTGCGTTTGAAGTACTGTAACTTATCCTTTGGTGCGAGGATAGTGCTATGCGCATATATATTATTAGCCTTAGGCTAATCGGTCTTTGTGTAGTACTTACGGAGCTTCTATAGGCCTACTTTAAGAGCGATAAGTATTTATTACTTCTATTTAATCTAATATTTGTTAGTATAAGGGTAAATAAAAAGTAAGATAGAAGTGAGAGAAAAGTGAGAGCGTACCTTCTTCTTTTTGAGCTAACTAATTAACGCCTCGAGGTGTTTAAATAGCTTATTGTAAAGCTTAAACACCTAGTGGATAGTCACGTCTTTTATCTTTGAGAATATACTTATGTATAGGAAGAATAGTCTTATAAGGCAAAGAAGATAGTTAACCTATCGCTATTCCTCGGAATTAAGCTTTAGGTTGTCTAGGCACTTAATATGGCAGTACCTATTAAAGTATGGTTATAGTCGTTTAGCTCTTTATAATATTAGATAGGTAGAATTCCACCGTGTTCGGACGTCCTGAATTGGGACTAATTAACTAGGTTCTATCGATTGAAGCCTAAGGAATTCCGTACGCCTTTGTGGGCTTCCGTTAATATATATTGTAAGCCGGCGTACCCTATCGAGGGTGTTTACAATATCCCCTTTCTGTCCTCGCTGGGTAGAAGCCTTCTGTAGCTTATCGGTCCACACTATATCTACTGTGTCGTTCTTTGGCTTTGCTTTGATCCGATATAGGAGCTTATTAAGGCTAAGCTGAATTATATGCGCCATACACGGAATATAAACAATAGAGATATCTGGATAGGTCCGTTAGACCTTATTAAATATTGTCTTATTATTTAACGCATTATCAGTGGTAATAGCCAGAATCTGATCTTTAATCCTATGTCTGTTAATAATAGTATATAGGGCTAAAGTAAGGTTCTCCCTAGTATATATACCCTCGAGGGGTTCGAAACCGAGTAGGATCTGCCTATATTCCTACTGTTTATTAAGGAAATACCTAGTGATAGCCATAAACGCCTAATAAAAGGGCGACGTCCAGCAGTTAAGTGTAAGTGATAGCTTTGCGTCTGACGGAAGCATATTTAGTATGCCTTGCTGTTAGATTTAGACGGTGCTTTGAAGCTGACGAGTAAGGGTTTTACCCGTTTAGATGATAGGGAGGGAAGGGACTTGTTAGGTTAAGCGTAAAAGGTCTCGAAAGTGCTGGTTTTCGATAATCTGGAATGGTAGACGAAGGCTAGTGATTGTGACCAAAAGCTGCTTCTTCTAATCGTTTTCATCCTATATATCGGGCGGGGAGCGCATAGAGCCTAGTGATTCAAATAAAGGAGTATTAGTCTTACTTCTCTTTCACTTTTCTTTCACTTCTCTTTCACTTCTCTTTCACTTCTCTTTCACTTCTCTTTCACTTCTCTTTCACCTTTGTCTTACCTGGGTACGGATAGCCGCCTGGATATTTCTCTGTTTTAGCTTACTATTTGGTAGGCATCTTTCTCTATGCCTTGTTATAATATTCGTCCCATTTTTAGGACTATGCGCGTAGATCTGGCCACAGTCCTTATAGGTAATATATGGTCTACTAGTAGAGATCTCTGCGCCCTGTTTAAAGTGTGTCCAAACCTCGGATATTAAGCCCCTTTTATCCCACCGGGGATGTTCCGCTCGTGGTTTCTGCCCATATATTGTTATAAGCCACTATTAGATGAATATAGCCTTATTTATATCGGTCTATAGGATATAGTTTCTCTTAGGTCCGACGCGTTCAAGGATCGGTGGGGGCTCGGTAGTAATAGGCGCGGTAGACTGGCTTTCAGGAACCGAGGAGGGTGGGATAGAGAAGCAGCAATCAGATAGAAGAGGGTCGATACTATCACTCGTGATAGAATCAAAGTGTTCAGATAAGGATCTAGCCATAATAACGCGAAAGAACGTAAAAGTAGGGGTGAAGTAGGGAGGAAGTGAACCATGGAATAAATAGCGGGTAGGACTATACACGCGTTAATTGGTTATAACGCGTGTTGAGCGGGTCTTTTGATCTGATATTATTAGTCTCACGGACCCACACACCTATTCTGCAGAATCAATCTCTCTAAGTCCGTGAAAGGATTAGTCTTTATCTTCACTACTCACGCAAATCAAATATATAAGCTCTTAAACTAGGAGATAAAGTAGAGATATATATAGATAATACGTACACAAAATATCATAGCTTAATATTGACATTTGGGTGAATTAAAAATTAAAGAAGAATCTCCAACAGAAAGTGGTAGTACACTTATCTACGGGAAATATATATTTCTGCTCTACACCACTAACATAAACACAACTACCCTATTATAGACAATAATGATTAGTCTTCTTTATGCGACCGATACAAAACGTACTAGTCTAGGTATAAACGATCATATTTCATATAAATACAGTAGGGAAGGATGAAAAAAGAGGGAATGGTATGCGTTTAGACCAGAACTAAGGTAAGAAACGGTAAATAAGCTAAAAATTATGCAAAAAGTTCAGGCTGAATCAGGCCAAATCAGGCCAAATCAGGCCGAAAATCCTAAATCAGGCAGGATTAGGTGTCCATGGGTTGCCCATGGGTTAACCCAACCCAACCCATGGACGGGTCAGGTTCCGCTGCCCAAGCGTGGGCAACCCATGGGTTGGGTCATGGGTCGAACCTTCTGCCCATGGACAACCCATGTCAATGTCTACTCTACAGAGAGTACCTTTAGCACCTAATAGCCTTATATAAATTAAACCTGACTAAGTGAACTAATTCCTATTATATAAAAATAAAATAAGTAAGGAGTTTATAATCTAGTAGCTCTAAATAGACTATAAAAGGAAGAAATAGATTAATTAGAACAGAAAGTATTAAGTAAGTTACTAAGATAGCTTTAAGTAGGTAGCTTATATAAAAGATAAGAAGCCTAATATAATATATATTGAAATGGGAACGGCTCGATGGCTGTCTGGCGATGCAGACTGGACAACACACACACACACACACTGCCTGTCTGGTGTAGAGGATGCTGGATGAGGCCGTACTGATGCCCTGTTGCGGCCATGCGGGATAATCTTAATGCTATATTATAGATAGAAGAAATTAGGTGAATCCTGAATGAACTGGGTAGATGACTTATCTCTCTCTAAGTGTGTCTGGAGATGTACTATGCACTGCAGACATTAAATCATGCCTGAGGCCACACATAGGCTCATTATGTCACCAGTTCTCCCACTACAATATAAGATATTAGAAGGTTTTTAACTATCTAGCTACCGGATTTATTAGTACTGTGGGAGATCCAGTGGGAGATCTAATGGGAGATCAAGTCTTTTATCCTTCGATGAATAAAAGAATATTTCCTTAATAGGAAACCTCAGGGTATGATATGATGATTGAAGAAGAATTATATTTTTCTTGTAGAGAATTGCGGACATATTTATATCCAATCAACAAAATTCTAGGCCTATATTAGACTTGCATTGTTTTAAGTCTAGGCCTGTCTTGCTTTGAAATCAATTATAGTCTAGGCATCATTTTTAATCTAGACCTATTGTCAAGGCATCATTAATAGTCTAGACCTATTGTCAAGGCATCATTAATAGTCTAGACCTATGCCAAGGTATCATCAATAGTCTAGACCTATATCAAGGCATCATTAATAGTCTATCCATAGAACACCTTTTAATAGACCTATTATAATTAGGTGGCTTTTCGTATTTACCTGACCAATTATGAAGATCATAGTCTTCTTGGATGACTAAAGGTAATGCTGACAGTCCTTGATAATGCTGACAAAGATAATGCTGACAGTCCTTAAATATGGTGACAAGTACCTTATCGATATATAAATATCTTAAAGGGCTACAATATTAGAAGGTATTGGAATATAGACCAATGCTACATAGAAAGATCTATCCTTATATTCAACATATAAGATCAGCATTGCATTGATTACGTGACCAATTTGGGGCCTTCTATCAAGATGATATTGATCACGTGACCAGATTTTTGTTCTATCAAAATGATATTTTGACCACTTCTGATTCTGGTCCGCGGCCCTTCCCCGAACGATAGGCGGGACCATTTTCCTTCAGAGGTAAATGGTCCGCCTTCAGGCATGAATGGTCCGTTCCTTCGAAGGTGCCTTCGGGTATATCTTGCCTGCGGACTTCCACTATGGTCTTCGAACCTCGGTGAACAGACTTCGACCCTCGGTCCCCTTAAGGATAGGCGGACCACTTTCCCTGAGGGATAAAATGGTCCACCTTTGGGCATGTATAACCTGATACTGCGGGGAAGCTTTCGGGGTGGCTTAAACCGTTGATCCTTGACATCATTCTTTTGGCTTTTCTTCGGTTCCCTCCTTTGCCACCTTCATTATGTTGCTGCCTAGTATTTGTATGTCATTCTGGACGTCATTTCTAGGCTATTCTAGCCTATAAATATGTCCTTCTTTTCTAGCAGAAAGAATCAAGTCAGTTCTACTTTCCTGAAGTCAGTTCTACTTTCCTGAAGTCAGTTCTACTTTCCTGAAGTCAGTTCTACATTCCTGAAGTCAGTTCTACTTTTCAAAAGTCATCTCTACCTTCTTCCTTTGATCCTCAGGACTGTGGTTCTGCCTTCGTTTAGGCTATATCTGCTTTTAGTCTATCCTACGACCTTTGACCTTCTTCCTTTGTCTGGCACCGACTGACCTAGCCGGACTAAGGTTGATCCCACGGACTTAAGGGGCCACGATCTGCTTCGTGGTAGCTTTCCCCTTATATCCCAACAATAACTTCTTATTATTTAAAAAGGAGACTTTTTTTAGGTTTAAACTTTTCCTAACTAATTATCCTAAGGGGGGGTTAGGCGGCTATTTAAGTACCTAAAGTTTAGTAATAGCGATTATAGAGATAGTATTCTTTTTTAGGTACTTATAAGTTATATACCCTTACTCGCGATAGTTAAAGTAGCGACCTTCCTTTATTAGAGTATTATATTTATTAATTAATAGTAGCTTATATAGAGCGGCGCCTATATTCTTGCGCTTTATAAATAATAGTTATAAGACGCGAGAATAAATTATATTAGCTAAGGCTCCTATAATAGCTTTAGAGAGACTAATTAGTTTATAGGACTTCTTAGCCTTAAATTAAAGAGTAATATTATAAGCTACGCTTTAGTAGATACAGATAAACTTATTAAAATTAATAGAAGTCTTATCTATAAATAATATTATCTAAGTCTATAGTAAGTTTAGTAGCTTATTATAAAGGTCTCGCTTTTAGCGATTCTTTAGTTAGTTTATTTTTTTAGTAAGATAAATAAATTTAGCGAGAAAATTATAGAAGTTATTCTTTAACTTTATTATTAGATATTAGTATTCCTAATAAGCCTTAGTAATATAGTTCGGGTTTTAGAAGATACCCTTTAGGTACTTTATAATATTTAAGGTATCCTAATAGGGGTTTAAGATATATTTTTTTAGATAAGAGTAAATATAAAGGAGTATCTTCCCTTTATAATAGCTTATAATATAAATTATATAATATTTAGTAATAAGATAATAATTAGCGTTCGTAGCTAGCTTATATTTAATTATTATAGCCTAAGCGTTAAATTAAACTATTGGAATATAGACCAATGCTACATAGAAAGATCTATCCTTATATTCAACATATAAGACCAGATTGCATTGATCACGTGACCAGATTTTTCTTCTATCAAAATGATGTGTTGACCACTTCTGATTCTGGTCCGCGGCCCTCCCCCGAACGATAGGCGGGACCATTTTCCTTCAGAAGTAAATGGTCCGCCTTCAGGCATGAATGGTCCGTTCCTTCGGGGGTGCCTTCGGGCATGCCTTGCCCGCGGACTTCGACCATGGTCTTCGGACCTCGGTGAACAGACTTTGACCCTCGGTCCCCTTAAGGATAGGCGGACCACTTTCCCTTAGGGGTAAAATGGTCCACCTTTAGGCATGCATAGCCTGATCCTGCGGGGGTGCTTTCGGGGTGGCTTAGACCGTCGATCCTTGACATCATTCTTTTCGCTTCTCTTCGGTTCCCTTCTTTGCCACCTTCATTATGTTGCTGCCTAGTGTTTGTACGTCATTTGTATGTTATTCTAGACGTCATTTCTAGGCTATCCTAGCCTATAAATACGTCCTTCTTGTCTAGCAGATAGAATCAAGTCAGTTCTACTTTCCTGAAGTCAGTTCTACTTTCCTTAAGTCATTGTCCACTTTCAAAAGTCATCTCTACCTTCTTCTATCCTTCTTCCTTTGATCCTCAGGACTGTGGTTCTGCCTTCGTTTAGGCTATATCTGCTTATAGTCTCATCCTACGACCTTTGACCTTCTTCCTTTGTCTGGCACCGACTGACCTCGTCGGACTGAGGTTGATCCCACGGACTTAAGGGGCCACGATCTGCTTCGTGGTAGCTTTACCCTTATATCCCAACATAAACTATCTTACTATTATTTAATATAGGAGTATTAGGTATTTTAGCTAATAGATAGCCTTAGGCTGTAGGGACTTAGGGGTCTTAATAATTTAGAGTATTTTAAGGGCTTAGCGCTAAAGATTAAAGGAGCTAAAAAGTAAGATTATTCTATTTACTAACTATAAGATCCTAATAGGTAATAGCCTTATCTTACTTTTAGGTTACGTTAATAATAGTAGACTTAAATTACCTATTATTAGTTCGCAGAAGTTATACTAAATATATATCTCTAAAGATCTATAGGTATCGTTAGGTCTAATAAGTCTCGCGCTAGATTAATTATTCTTATAGGCTATCTATATCCTTTTAGACTTTTTTTCGGAACTAATCCTTAAAGTAAAACTCTTAGCGAATAAGGTCCTTAGCCTCTAAGTTATTAATCTCAAAGCTAATCGTATTATAATATCTTAATAGGTTCTAA